CACTAACAAATAGACAGCCAAAATTAGTCTACATAGATAACGGAACGAATACGATATGTTTTCTGAAACGTAAATGAGTCAGTCGCTTTTCTGCGCAGCGTGATTAATAATCACAACGTGGTCTGACAAAATCGTCATATAGGCCTAGCTATATCATTTTAGGCATCAAGTTTAAGACAATGGATGTGATGTGATTTTGGCTAAATTTACATAAATTATAACTTTATACATGATAAGTGATAACTCTATCATTTATAAATAAGTGGAAGTGTGAAGTGACAGGAGGTTTTGCTGATCAATAGGCCTACCATGTAAAAAATGATCGTGATTTTAACATTAGAAGACTGTAAAAATGCAGTGAAAAACTGTTATTTGGTTAACAGAACCTTTAAATAACTATGATATCTATGATATATCTATCTATGATAGATCTAATGGTAAATTTCATGTAATTTTACTGTAAAATTCCGTTATAGCCTATTACTGTGTCACGCGTGACACTTTGCATTTGACTACAACGGTCTAAACAGATAACTGCAGTAGGTTGGTAAATTAGCTCTATATCAGAAAATGAAATAAAGTTTATTTGTGTAAATTTTAAGTTAGTCTGTAAAACTTTGCTACCGTAAAGTATATGGCAAATTTCTGGCAACCAGCTGCCCTTATTTCACTCTAAATTGAACAAAAAATGTTTTTTACAGTAATGATTCCACATGCCATGAATGAGGGATTTATAGAGCGCTGTAGGCTGTAAGTGCTTTACAGTCATATCAGGGAATCTCTCCTCAACCACCACCTCCTCCAGTGTGCAGCATTAACCTGAACATGTATCATGTTCTTTGTTGGCATTTTGGCATACTGCATTCTTTTCAGTGGTAAAATCCCCAGGTGCTGCACTCAATCTTCGAGAAGCACTGAAACAACCTCAAACTCAAACAAGCTCTTAGGCCTAAATACAATTTACGACGATATTTAAATAAAATATAATGGCAACTTGTTGACCCTGTGAAGGTGTATGTGAGATGTTTGTATATTAGAACCTCAAATATTAAATCACACTTCCTGTGTTCATTGTAATAAGAAACAGTTTTATTTCATTCTGTTTTAAAAATAGACCTACGAGTGGTTATTTGTTGCTTCACTGAGTGAAGTGTGCGCCCCAGTAATTGGCTATGCATCTTAGGCCATGTAGTTCATGGTTTAAACATATATACCTGGTTGAAACCTGAAACTGTGAGTTGTGACTTTGTAGTTGCATGCATCAGGGGCATAGCCAGTATTGGGCCAAGGCAACACTAGGCCCGCCCACATTAATCACTGGCCCGCCCAGGCAAGTTTGTCAAAAATCTAAGCCAGGGTCAAAACACAGGCAGAGGATACAATGATAGAATAATGCTCAGAAATGCTGCTGTGGGGCAAACAAGATGGCTCCTGACGTGAGAGCACATCTTTCGTAGGGGTCTTCCTCAAGGTCGTGGGGCCGATCTCTCCAGGTGGGTCCTATGAAATTCAACGATGAGAATGGGGTCGAGGATGTCATCCGCATTCACCCAGGACCTCACCTCTGAGCCGTGGATTTGGCATGTTGTATAGCATGTTGTAGGTGGACATGCGCTTGGTTCCAAACAGCCTCACTTCGTAGAAACCAATCGTTCACAGCAGGTACTGTACTTCTGATTGCTCACTGGACCATGGGAAAAGCAGAGGTTGGAACCCCAGAAAGTTCTGAAAAAGTCTACATTTTGTGGAGGGTTTGAGAATCGAGTTCTGTGCATATTCTGCCCAGGGAAGAAAGCGGCTCCAGTCGGATTGGTTCTGCTGACAGTATTCTGAAAAATTTGGTGAGTTCTTGGTTTAGTCGTTCTGTTTGGCCATTAGATTAGGGGTTGTGACCCGAGGTGACCTGAGGTGAGACTTATATTGACATTGAATAATCGAAAGGTTATGAATAAAGGAATAAATGAATAAATGAATTAAAGCTATTCAAACACTTGATGTGAACTGGGGACCCCTGTCGGAGACAATGTCTTCAGGAAGACTATAATAGTGGAATACAAAGTGGAAGAGGTGTTCTGCGGTTTCAAAGGCTGATGGGAGCTTAGACAATGCTATTAGTCAACATGCCTTGAAGAAACGATAGTCACTGGTAATATATTAACTCCACAGTTAATATGGAAGTATTACCCTTAGAGAATGGTTGATCGATGATGAAATCAATGGTGATGTGGGACCATGGTCGTTGTGGGATGGGTAGGGGTTGTAGTAGTCCGGTTGTTGGGTTTTTTTCTGTTTTTTTTTTTTTTCCGCAGCGCAGGTGTGACAAGAGTTCACGGACTGTTGGTGTCTGCCTGTAAAGTCTCCCACCAGAACCGATTTCTCAATAGTCGAACTGTGGTGGTGATACCTTTGTGGCCAGAGCTTGTGGAGGAGTGCACCCAGTGGATTACCTTTTCTCATAGTCTTAGGGGAACAAAAGTTTGGTTGGGTGTGCATTCCGGAGGTGGTGGGTTCTGTGTGTGAGCCTGGGTGATTTCGGACATGATGTCCCACTGGACTGGAGCTAGAATTAGAGAAGGTGAGATGATGGGGTCTGGAGATGGGTTTTGAGGGGTGGAGTCATATTGGCGGGATAGTGAGTCGGCTTTGATGTTCTTTGATCCTGGACCATAAGTGACTGAAGTATTTTATCGAGTGAAGAACAGGGCCCACCTGGCTTGTCTTGGGTTTTGTCTTTTGGCTGAGCATACTGCTGTAGTTAAGTAGATAAGCAATCCTTGCCAGTCAAGGATCATGGCCCATGCAGGATACCACTGTCCTCTGGTCTAGGTTTTGAATCCTGATCTTAAAACAAATAATATTTCTGCATTATAAGCCCAACATTTTAACAAAAATACATAGGCTATGGCATTTTAAATTTCTTTAAGGAATAGTTACCTTAAAAATGAAAAGACATGGACCCCATTGACTTTTATAGTAGGAAAAATGACTGTCTGGCTATAACATTCTTCAAAATATCTTCTTTTGTGTTCAGCAGAAGAAAGAAATTCATACAGGTTTGGAACAACTTGAGGATGAGTAAATTATGACTGAGGATAAGGATGAGTAAATTATGACTGAGGATGAGTAAATTATGAGAATTTTCATTGTTACGTACATGAACTATTCTTTTAATGCTCATTTTCAATTAAATAACATTTGACCGTCCCACATTAGTCAAATCTGTCCCACTTTGAAAACAACATTTTCTAAAGTTTGATGACAAAGATTTTTTTTTTTACAAAAAGAATAAAGTAGTACATGACGCAACACAGTAAACAAACAAAAGATTGCTTCAAATAGAAGATTTTAACAATATTATTGCAACATTTGTACATACAAATACAACACAAATATAATTTGATAACAATTTAGAACATTGTTTATTTATAACAGATTCATATCATAATTTTGGCAAAATCCCATGTGACTCACCTTTGAATGTACTATACGCATTTCCTGTTTAATCACAATCATGACATAATTTCGAGAAAGTCATGTGATTTAATTTACTTGACACACCTAAACAACAGTCATGGTCACTTTAATGTTTAAGAAGAGTCAAATGCTCTGTGTCTTAAGGTGTCCCACATTAAGTAAACATCTTAAAAAGGCTAAAGTAAACATAAAGACAATAAACTTGAAATTTGAGGTGTGTGAAAAGAGTTGTTTGCTGTTATGTTTCAAAATTAGCATAATGAAATAACACATATTCTGCTCAATGATCAGACACAAATCCTAAACATCTTTAAACTCTTTTAATGTACAATTCAGTCACAGAGTTTAAGCTTACACTTTAGTGAGTTGAAAAAAAAAAAAGATACAGCAATGACATCATAGGGTCCTATAATGGATGTGAGATAAAAGAATAATCAAACTGTCTGGAAGAAAGAGAGAGAAAAGAGAAGGAAATTATTCATTGAACTAAACTAAGGAAAATAAACTGCAAACAAAATTAAGAGAAGTGCACGGAAATATAAAAGAAAAGAGAGGTTAAATGCAGAAGCAAAGAAAGAGAACAGGGCAGAAAGGAAGTGAAAGAAGAAAAAGAGGTGAAAAGAGAGAAGACTGGAGAAAAGAAATCAGCTGTATGAATATTACAGTAAATAAGCCTTATAAGCATAGTGAGAGTCAAAGTGAAGGAAGAGTTACATAATCAGATAATAAAATAGATCACAAAAATATGAAACCACATGCACAACAACAATATCACCCCAAAGAAGGAATGAGAGATAGAAAAACAGCCAAATGGAAATAAGATGGCATGACTCGTGTGATTAAAAATGAAAGTGGGGACACTAACATTTACAGTAATAGTATAAGAAATTAAAAAGCTAACCAGCCAAAGAAACAAAGAAAGAAAGAAGGAAAGGCACATAACAGTTCCCTAGACGGAGAGATAAAACATCTAAATAGTCTTTTGATTCATTTTTGAATCAGTAATTTGGAATTTAAAAATGATCTTACAGTAAGCAGACATTACTGTAATGCACTACTAAGCCTTTTAGAAAGAAGAAAGTCATTAAACGCAGACAGTAAATGGAAATAAAGCACAAAAGAGGATAAAATAAGCATTAAAAAAGTAGTTGAAAGTGGTAAAAGAGAAGAATAAAGATAGAATAAGAATACAAAAGTTATATGCTGAAGCAAAAACAGCATTTGAACCACAGCAGAAAATGAACAGAAAAAAAAACCCAAGGTGAATAGACATGAAACCGAACAGCATGACGTAACAGGAAATGACTAGAGAAAATCAGTAAGGAAAGCACCTCAGATTTATTGTATAGATAGATAGATAGATAGATAGATAGATAGATAGATAGATAGATAGATAGATAGATAGATAGATAGATAGATAGATAGATAGATAGATAGATAGATAGATAGATAGATAGATAGATAGATAGATAGATAGATAGATAGATAGATAGATAGATAGATAGATAGATAGATAGATAGATAGATAGATAGATAGATAGATAGATAGATAGATAGATAGATAGATAGATAGATAGATAGATAGATAGATAGATAGAATAAAGAGATGTTTAGCTCAGAGGTAGATTACATTGTGAGAAAAATATCACCCACCCCAGTGCCATTGCTGTATCTCACAGAAATGCTTGTGACAGCAGAAAAATTACACTCACTCGAACACTCCAAAGAACACACACACACACACACACACACACACACACACACACACACACACACACAGTCCTATACATACTAGACCAGTTCAGAGTTTTGTATTTCTCTCAGGGGGAAGTTCCACTCGAGGTATTTGTCTTATATTGTATAACATCAGCATTCAGCAGTGCAACAGATCCAGAGGTTGTGATAAAATGACAGTGTTGCGCGGCGCCACTTGGTGAGGCCTGTCATCTACCTGTGAGGCTCTATTTGATAGTATCAGTATGTACTGTCAATAACAACAACAATATAATGAGCTAGACACTGTGCAGTCTGATAGCTATGTACTTATCTTTTTTGATGGGATATTTTCTTAAATTAGGAATTAAATTAGGATTAAGTCCCTAAATTTAAATAATTATATGTTCAGGCTGGATTTGTCTGTTTTCCTCAATAAATATCAGCAGTATTTACAATCTTACAGTAAGGTCAAATGGTTACTCAGAAGATGATGGTTCATGAAGTATCGTCATCGGCAGAAGTGAGTCAAAGAGTGGTTTTCATTCAGTACGGAGTAAAGCGGTTATAGCCTCCACGGTACAAACTTGCCTGTAAGCAAAACAGAGTAAATCAGACATTCTGTCATAACAATCAGAATAGTCAAGAAAGTGTGTTTACAGTTTTTCTCAATTGCTTTGGCTCAGTTCTCAAATGTTTTTTTTATTTCCCAAAACATTAAGTTCATATCTCTGAACAATTCGCTTCTTGTTCACATCAGATTGGAATTTCTTATTGATTTGAGAAAATTGCAAATGCTTTGGCACATGTGTGCAAAGAGTACATACAACTGTCTGCAGTTTGGACAACAAATAATTGTATATGGCTTGTTGATCAAAACTGATGATTTGATTCTCACTTACACTGTCAAACACTTCAGAACTTCTCAGACATTTTTTATTGTGTAAGCCATCACATTCAAAACGATCTATTCAATTATCATAATTAGTATACATGAATGTATATTCTAAAATATATCTGACATTGACATTGTTTGTAATGTTTGCTAAATTGGCACATGACTTCTAATTGCATTCGCAATCTAATTATAAATTACCTCTAATATGAATCAACCATATAAATATATATATATATATATATATATATATATAGAGAGAGAGAGAGAGAGTATATATTTAGAGTATATATATATATATATATATATATAGAGTATTTAGAGTATATAGAGTATATATAGAATGGAGGACATTCACAACCCTGAACTGCAGCAACATGCTCATGGAAGAGCAATTGGAAGGCATGTAAGAATACGTGGTGGTGGTAGAGAAAGAAATAATCGAGGAAGAGGTGGAAATAGAAGAGTCAGAGTCTCTGATGAAATCAGAGCCACACTTGTGGATCATGTCATAAATCTGACCATTGCAGGGGATGGGTGCGGCATTCAAGGAGATTTTTTCCACGTTGTGTGGCAATGGTAACATCAGATGTGATGTTGATGAAAATCTTTGGCCTGACCAACGTGTGCGACAAGATGTCCACCAAGAATAATTTGTTTCTTTTTCTTTTTTTTTCCATGAATGTTATTTGTTGTTTGTGTATTTGTGGTAATACACAAATATGAGATGTAATGTGAAATCTTGTTATTCTTGTCAGTTACTTTACATGTACAGTAAATACACTTGTATTGTGTATACACATGAAGTACAAAAATAAACACTGTAAAAATACAAATGTTCATAGAATTTTTTTTTCTACATACTATTGACTTTTCTCAACAAATATGAGATTTGTTTACAGACAGTAAACCCTTAATTTGATTTATGGTGAAAAAATAACTAAACATTTTGACCAGTGTGGCTCACACAATGACAAAAATACTTTAGATTTTGGTGGCCTTGGCCAAATTATTGACAAAATAACTAGGTTTTGAAGCATGAATTAAATGTTTTGGGTGAGTAACTACATTTTGCAGACATGCTATAAAGTTTTGAAGTTCCTGCAAACAGTTGTGACATTTGCACTCACAGTTTAGAGAATGTTAAGACTGTTTCGAAAAATGTGCCAAAGCAATTGAGAAAAACTGTAATCACAACTGACTGTACTTACCATTGTTCCAACTCCATAAGTGGTGGTGGGTCCCACTGAGTGATGGTAGGGGTCTGTTGTGGTATAGACTCTTCCGTATCTTATCAATTTAAAAAAATAAGAAAATATGGATGGGATAGATAGATTAGATAGATAGATAGATTAGATAGATAGATAGATAGATAGATAGATAGATAGATAGATAGATAGATAGATAGATAGATAGATAGATAGATAGATAGATAGATAGATAGATAGATAGATAGATAGATAGATAGATAGATAGATAGATAGATAGATAGATAGATAGATAGATAGATAGATAGATAGATAGATAGATACTCAGACACACAGATTGATGTTCTTACCCATCACTGTATGCGGCTGTTGCAGCTGCTGAGGCCGACTGGGCCACTCGATATGTAGCGGGATATCCTCCCTAAAGACAGGAAGAAGAATTGCATTGTTATTCATTCAGAAAACTATTTAACTTGCAAAACCTGTTTGTTAGAGGGACAGTCCTCATGGAGCACCCTGATGTTATCAGCGAAACCTTCAGTGCATCAGAAAATGCTTTGTGCTTGTAAAGTTTCCAGGTAGGTTTAAATTTGTTTGTGTTAGGAGTCCGCCTTGAAAATAATCCTTTCAGTGGTCATTTCACCTAGAAACTGCAGTTAATTGTAGTAGTCTATTTAGGCTTTGGCAGCATCCTAGTTGGCAGTACATGATGAGTCACATTCTCGAATAGCTTTAACTCACCACCACTATTACATGTAACGCATCTTGTTCTTTTCATTTTACTGTAAGCAATCACATTTCAATCATGTCTTTTCATTCCTAAAGAACAATATGTACTTTATGGTTAAGGACAGATATGACTGCACCAAACAGTAAATTCTCAGAAATGTGCCGGTACAAAAGTAAAAGTTGACTGGTAACGTACATAGACCTCGGCACCATACAATCCGTCTTGATACACCACTCTAGAGGAGATAGAAAGTAGACACGTTACATAACGCCATAAATAAAATGAAATAATTAATATTTAATGTAAGTTTAATTTCATTTATGAAGAGTTCAGATGCAAAAGCCTCTAAGTGCCATTTGAAATTTTCTTCTAGAATGATCATTTTTATCAAACTTATATATTCAAGTTCAGTAATTTCACTTAAATGACAATTAATAGGTTATCTTCATTGCAATTTAAGTGAAATTACTGAACTTAAACATACAAGCTTGATAAAAATGATCATTCTAGAAGTAAATTTCAAATGGCACTTAGAGGCTTTTGCATCTGAACTCTTCGTATATTACTTAATAACATGAGTTCAAAATAACTGAAAAGATTTCAATAATTCCAGTATAGTGTAAATACTAACTAAAAGTTTTGTAGTCATAACATGGCCACTGAGAGAATGACTGACCCGGGATAGGCTGGTACTGCAGCTGGTGTGGCTGTGGCTGTAGCGGAGCGGATTGTATTGTAGACTGCCCGACCACGTCCACGAAGGCCAGAGCCTCTGTAGGCCAAGGTCGGTGTCGGAACAGCATAAGGGAAGCTGGCGACTATTAAAGCCAAAAAGTGAATATAGAGGGCAAAACAAAAAAAATCACATGTTCTAAAGTCAACATAGGACAGGAAATTTCTGATAACTATTACATGTTTTTTTATTCGAAAATGGAACAAAGTTTAGGATTAAGAATATATCCATACCTGTGTAAAGTTCTGGGGCGTACATGGCCCCCATTACTTGATTGATTTTCCAGCCAGCAGCTACAGGAATAGACAAATAAGTGAGAGCTGAATTCTATCAACCCTTTATTTTCATCCTTTCAAACTTTTTCAAGTTTTTTTGGGGCAGAACATTATGAAGGAAGCTCACCGTTCACTAATGGCGTCTGGGGCTTTTTTGTTACCACCCTCGCTGTGGCGTTGTTCACCTGAGGATCATTTAATTGTTTAGTTGTCCCTTCACTCTAACACAATAACTTATCCTCATACCTCAATCTTTCTTCCCTCGACGATCGTTCCGTTGAGCTTCTCTCTCGCTCTATCCGCCTCCCCTGCACTCTCGAATGTCACAAATCCAAAACCCTGAAGAAAGGATTGAAATCAAATTGAATCAGAGTTAAAACTCAAATAAAGAAGTAACTAACTCAACACAACTGCTAGACCTACTGACCTTTGACCCTCTCTCATTAAAGATGATCTCCACATCTAGAATCTTGCCAAATTGCTGAGAGATAGAAAAAAAACATATATTGACTTAATAGTTACACATATGGAAATGGGTTTGACTAGGGATAGTTCACCCAAAAATTCGGTCATTATTTATTAAGTCTCATGTTATTCCAAACCTGTATGAATTTCTACGACTTTACAAAAACTACGATTTTATTCAGCATTGTATTGTCTTCGATTTCTATTGTCAATCTGCATTCACAAGTCCACAGTGACCATGCTGAGTGTACACCTGGTGTACACCGTCAGCAGCGTCTTACGTCAGCTCCGCCACAGCGGACTCATGAAAACTGCTCGACAACAGAACCGGAAGAGAATACAATGCAGAATAAAGTTGTAGTTTTTGTTATTTTTGGACCAAAATGTATTTTCGATGCTTCAAAAAATTCTAACTAACTCACTGATCTGTCACATGGACTACTTTGATGATGTCTTTATTTCCTTTCTGGACAAGGAGAGTACACTGTAAACATTTTCAATGGAGGGACAGAAAGCTCTTGGACTAAATGAAATATCTTAAACTGTGTTCCGAATATGAACAGAGGTCTTACGGTCTTGGAACGACAAGAGGGTGAACTACCCCGTTAAGTGCAAAAGAAGATACTTAAAATATCTTAGTGGGTTTTTTTTGTTTTTTTTTGTCAGGTGGTTTGAATTTTTTTAAACCTCATTGACTTGAAACATTTCTCAAAATATCTTCATTTGTGCTCTGCAGAAGAAAGTCATATATTTGGAATTACATGAGACTGAGTACTTGATAACTGAATGTTCATTGTTGGGCGATATTTAATTGGCAAAAAAAAAAAAAAAGAGTTATGCATTACATTTGGGACAAACGCACATGCCCTTACCCCAAACATCTGCCTCAGGTCTGGGTCCCGAAACCTAAAGGGGATATTGGAAACATGGAGCCTTTTGGGTTGGGCCTTCCCAGCTCCTTCCTCCTCACTTCCACTTCCTGTTCCACTTCCAGATGCCACAGTAAGAGACTGTGTGTCCGATGTTACAGGTGCCAAAGAATCATCCTATGAGGGTGACAGGAATGAAAGATGGGGAAGGGAGAAAATGTTGGAGCAGAAAGAGGGAACAGACGTAGAAAGAGTGAGGAGGAAGTTAAAGACAAGAATAGAAAAAAACATTAGTATGCATTTCATAACAACAAACCTTTAGTTATTATCTATGGTATATGATCTCTTATTAAACTTACTGCAATCTAAAATTTTATTGGGAGAAAACTGGTTTTATAAAGTGACCACAACAAAACGAAAAGGAGCATTCCTCATCCAGTGATTCCTCTCAAGCAAAAGTGAGGAAATGTGAACAAGTTCCCATTTTAGTGAGCTGTCTAAGTACATGCCAGTTAGACATAAAAAACACAATTTGCATTAAAAATAGAGCACAGTCCAATTTTAAATTCAGTGAAGTCAATACCAGCTTAAAGTCATTAAAGATTACTAGCGTTTGTAACTTTCTGAGTGCTGCAACTGAAATATTTTTCATATGTAGGCCTAATGCATGGTACACATCATTTCCTATCGCACTGGTTGTACATGACTGTGAATAAAATGCCCCCATGCAGATCAATACATAGGAGTGTTTTGTGCTTCAAACCCAACACATACACTATCCCACAATGCATCACGATGCCAGTTCGTTTGTCTGCACAGCCTACCTCACCAAACGGCACAAAACTGTTACCATTAAAAAATGGATTAAGAAGACAAAATAAAGTGTATTAAAAATGTTCAGAAACAGAAAGAGCAATAGCTAGAAGAAAAGAGTAGGTGAGCATAGCGTGACAAAAAGAGGAATGAAAGGGAAAATGGTGAAATAGAGGAAGGGAAAATGGTGAAGGTCAAAAAGAAGTTTAGGTAAAAAAGGAAATGTGTGGGCACAACGCATTATGTGAAGTGAATCTAAAAGCAGTGGAAAAAAATTGTTATGCAAATGATACAGTCATTAGAACGAGAAAGAAGGACAGACAGATGGCCAATTCCATATCTTGATGGAAAAAGTTAAAGCAGAAAGGCTAAATGACCTCTGCTTTAACTCATCCATTACAGATCTGCAATACTGAGATATAAAGGGTTATGGGCAACAAAACTGCTCTAATCTGGGCAGAAAAAAAGGGGGGGTGCATTCGGTTCATCATGTTCCCTTCCTTTGATCCTACAAAAAAAATGTAATTAAAAAAAAAAAAAAGTATTTATTTTAAGTTTTTCAACCATCATCCCAGAGGTTCCTCCTCCAGAGAAGTGATTCAGACTGTATACTTCTCAAAATCATTTAAAAAAATATATAT